GGACCTGTCGATTTTTAAGCTCCTCAGACAGAAAGGCAAAGTCTTTTCTTTTTCTAAGAATTTTTGGAGGTATTTCTTTTAAAATTATAATATTTTGATCTGCAATTTGAAATCTCTGTTTATAAAAAGCCTGGATAATTGCATTTCGAAGTGATCTCCTGGAAAAATAAATAACCACATCTCTAGGTAAATTTTTCTGTCTCGCAATCCATGAATTAACCCTAAATATTTTATCCATCTCTCTTGATAATTCCTCAGATTCACATCCCAGAATAGGAGCTATAGCCTTTGCCACCTCCTCTTTCAAATCTTCTTGTGAATCCTCCTTTAATCCTCTTATTCGCAATGCAAATTCCATATCTCTATATTGTGAGATGGTAACTTCATCCTCTGTTATATCAATCTTATTTTCAACTTTAGCAACCCTCCTTTCTAGCTTTTCAGTATTTTCCACAACTTCATCTACCCGGTCATCCAAACGTTCAATATGTGTAGCTAACCCTTGAAATGCAAGCAATATATCTTCCCTCATTTCTCTATTTTTATTCTCAAGAAGGTCAGCCATCTCCTCCTTTATTTCTTGTGTTGCTAACTTTAAAGCATCTTGAATATCTTTAAGCGTAAATGCAGGTGGTGGGGGAGAAGGTGGGGGGATCTTGGTTTAGATTGCACTGCAGGCTGTATTACAGGAGAGGAGATTGTACCTTTAGAAACAGCAGAAATTCCCAAATGCTTTGAAGCCATTTTCCTGTCTGTAAAAATCCACCTCTTATAAGTTTCCCTTTCCCCCTTTCAAACAAAGAAACAGCATTCCGGCGCCATTTTTCCCTTTTAAGTCCAATTAGAATATGGAGAAGATTATTTCTCCCCGAGTTAAAGTTTCCAGCACTTGCAATTTTAAATTCTCCTGGTCAGCTCTGTCTTGCTTTTAAATTACTCACAAGTCCCTTTAAAATGCAGATGTGGATGCAGCGTCTTGCTTTGCTCCTGAAACTCTGAGCAAAGGCGTCCTGGAGTGTGGAGAAAGCCTCGGGCTCCGAGGGAATTCACCCTCCGACCTCCAAATAATTAAGGAGGTCTAGGGGAGCTCTACCTCTACCCGAGGAAAACTCTCCTCCCCCTCTTTTCCTGAGGAGGAGGTTTTCAAGCCGCGGGACAACTGATTTTTGCTGTCTCCGCGCGCTTTTCACACAATCACAGGGCTGGCAGCTAAAAGAAAGCCGCCATCAGCGCAGCATCACCACCGGAAGCCCAAGAGCTAATGGATTATATTGAAGAAGATAGGTCTTTTTGAAACTTCCAAGATCCAACCCAATGCGTTTTTCAAAAATATTTGGTTGAAACCTTGTTGCAACAGTTTGCTAAGCAAGATAGACTTGATTAAGCTAGCTAGGTTTCTATGTTTTTAAATACAGCCATTTATTTCTCATTCTGTAGGATCTGCTGAATACAACTTGCATCCATTCTTGGGGTGCTTGCGAGGTTTGCACATGAATGGGGTGACCCTAAACTTGGAGGGGAAAGCCAATGAAACAGAAGGGGTTCTGGTAAACTGCACTGGGCATTGTCGAAACCCCTTGGTACCATGCCAGAATCATGGCATCTGCTGGGAGCACTACAGCCACTACACGTGCAACTGCACAGTCTCTGCATTTGAAGGACCTTTCTGCAATCATGGTGAGAGCTAGGGCTAAGGACAGGAGGGCTAGTGTAATTTGCTTCAGCAGCCTTCCCCTGCCTGATGTCCTTTGAATATACTGGGCTATGCTGGCAGGAAAGTAACCCAAGAGCCACCAAGGCCAGAAAGAAAGGGAAGGCAGCAGAAGAGCTTAAGTAGCAAGGGAGGTGGAAAGAAGCAGTTCTTTCCTGGCTTGGATTTTGCCTTCCCCTAATTGTTGCCTTATTTTGTTGTTTCTTGGCAGACATTGGTGCCTACTTTGAACAAGGCATGTGGGTGCGCTACAATATCCTAACAACACCCTTGTATGTGGTACAAGAATTTGCCAACATACTCCATCAACCACTTCAGCCGCTCCCTGGCTACAATGTGACAGGGGAGGAAGTGGGACTCAACTTCCGTACCAGTTCAGCCCCTGCAGTCCTTCTTTATGTGAGCACCTTTGTCCGTGACTTCATGGCCATTTTGATCCGTGAGGATGGTAAGCATGACTTGAATAGCTTTCACAGATGCTTTGTGGAGTTGACACCTCATTCTTCTTCTTCTGAGATTGGTACTGCACTTTCTTTCCACTCCTTTCCTGCCTCTTAGCAGAAAGGATGGGAGTATTTTCTCACTTTCCAGGATCCTGGTAAAGAGGCACTATCCCACTGTCTCCCCCCAAATCTTTCAGAATGTTTTCACCTGATGATTTAGAGAGGCTGATTAAAAATGTTAGACTGTCTTACCTAATGAGAAGAAGATTCCATCAGGATACTCCCAATGATCAACCTTTAACACTAAGATTATTTGACATATGACTGTTTCATTAGCTTCTTAATGGATTTTCTCTGAAAATAAAATAATTGAAAAAAATCTGCATTTCTTGTAATATTCCCAAAGAAATGTGGTTTGTGTAATAAAAATGTCACCCCAAAACATATATTTATATTTACTTTTTGTTCTATTTCTATGATGGCTTTCCTCAGGGAGCTGTTGGCAGATCTCTCAGTAAGACATCTTATTGAATTGAGTAAGTGAAAACAATAGAAAGGCAGTGTCCACCCTAGGAAACATTAAGAAATAGACTGAAAATTAAACAGATGAAATGTGCAGCAATGCTATGGTCCTCCAGTGATATATTCCTCTGGTCACTTTGTCTTAAAGAGTATTGGAAAGTTAGAAAATAAAATGCCCTAAATGAACAGATGATTGAAAATCTGGATAAAAATGTAAACCTTAAAACATGGACATCATTTTCATACAAGTGATGGCTCAATTTTAACACGTCAGACGTTGATCAAATTGTTAAAGGCTTTGATGAATTGGACAAATTCTCTCCTCCACCCCTTCTCCCCCAAGTCGATTTTACTGTTAATCAACAGTGCAAAATATACCACTGCTATTTTTGTGATATTATAGAAGTCAGTGCTATACGATATAGTGATAGTCAATATTTAGAGAGGTTTTTTTTCAAGTTTAAAAAAGAAATTGGTGGTTGTTAGTGATAATTTTAAAAAATTCTGTGGGTATTGTATTAATTTCCCCAAAACATCTGAGAGACATGTTAGAAGCAAAATGGAGTACTTGGTGGGTCTTTTGTCCAGATTCAGCAGAGTTCCTGACCTCTTAAATGTGGAAGAATTTCATTTAATAAACTGAAACTATGTTCTTTCTCAATGTTCTCAGTGATGATGATTTTCTTCCAACTCTGCTGCATAAGGGTGCAGAAACTGAACTCTTGGTCATCTTATACTGTTAATGCTTTCCTCATAGGTACCCTACAGCTACGTTATCAACTGGGGATCTTCCCTTTCAGTTTGACCTTGAGCACACGCTCAGTGGCTGATGGGCAGCCACATAGAATCAATATTACTCGTGTCAATAGGACTTTGTACACACAGGTATCTACAGCTTTTTATCCATCAGATGGGCTTGATAAAAAAAAATGATGGGATAGGTTTATAATTTTGATTAAGTAGAGAAAAGGGCAGTTAAAAGTTCTCTTTTTAACGGAAAATAGGTTTTCCCTGAACAGAAAGCATTTATGTACGTCCCTATAATTCTCTTTTGATTTTAGAGAATCATCTTAATGTATCTTTCATCTCTTCTCTCTCTCTCATCTAGTTGGATTATTATCCTCTCATGGTAAATCAATTCTCTGTCTTTGTGGACAGCAAACTTGATTCTCCCAAAGCGCTCTATCTTGGCCGTTTTATGGGTAAGAACAATATGGGTGTTTTATGGGTGAGTAAGAACATTCTTGATGCCCCCAGCCCTGTTGCCATTTTCTTAGGATTTCTGTCCATTCTTCATGGCATCCCTATCATATTACAACCCCTTTTTATGTTTCTAAACCTTAATGCATCCTTGTCTTCAACTTCAAATTTGAATGATTTTCTTCCTTTTGTTTTTTTGTATTCTTCCTATTGTTTCCTATCCTCTGTATCTTTATAGGATAGCAAGGTCCTCTTAGCAAAGCAATATCAGTTCCAAAACAGAATGGAGAAAAAAAAAGTAATTCTATATAGGTAGTCCTTGTCTTACAACGATAATTGAGCCAAAGTTTTCAGTTGCTAAGCAAGACAGTTGCCAAAATTGAGTTTTGCCCATTTTATGACCTTTCTTGTCATAGTTGTTAAGGGAATCACTGCATTTGGTAAGTTAGTAACACAGTTGTTGTGTGACTTTCCCATTGACTTTCCTTACAGAAGGTTGAAAAAAGGGGATCACATGACTCTGGGACACTGCAACCATCATAAATATGATTCAGCTGCCAAACATCTAAATTTTGATCACATGATCATGGGGATGCTCCAGTGAACATAAGGGTCAAGTCAGCTTTTTCAATGCTATTGTAACTTCAAACAGTCACTAAACGAATGGTTGTAAGTTGCAGGCTACTTGACAATACTAATGTGTCCAGCAGACCTTGTGACAATAGTAGTTTTACTGATAATAGTCCAGAAATACTTTGCTACTGCCTTCCTCTGGGATATGTTTGCAATTTCCTAGCATTTTCCCAATCTAGCCTACAAACCTGAGATTTCTTGATGATTTCCCATCCAGATGCTAACTAGGTTTGATCCTATTTAGCTTTTCCCCAAGATTTCCCACAGTTGGTTAGATACGTCTCGAACGTTTGTAACACACATTCTATTTCTCTCTGTGACACCCCCACCCACACAATTATTATTATGTTTATAATCTATTGCTGGGATAGCTTGTTATTGGGCAGATTAAAAGTATGAATTAAAAATATAAAGAAACCAAAATGGTCTAGCAGCTACAGTGAGCCTGTAGAATGCAGTGATAGTTTTGGAAGAATCTAACAACTTACTTCCTGGTTATATGGTGCAGAGGGCAACATATGCAGCCTGCTATGTGCTTCACAATACACATTCCCATTCCCCAGATGTAATAGGAGGGAGAGAACATGCACATACAAACAACCTTCATATCCACTCATGCAATACATGTGTAGCCATTCAAATTAGAACTTCCAAGGATTAATGGAAAAAAGAGATACCAGATGTTCAAGCTGGCTTTAGAAAAGGTTAAGCAATACAAGACATTATTACTGATGCCCTCTGTATAATTGAGCCAAAGAACATTAAAAAAAATCTCAGTATTTGCTTCATTGATTATACAGAAACCCTTGATTATATCAGTCACATCAAGCTGTGGAAAGTGCTCAGAAAAATGGGAATCTTGTTTTGCTGATGTCTTATTATTGCAATTATTAAGTCTGAAATCTTAACAATTAAAAGGGATATATAAATAACAAACCAAGTGAATGACCTGGATAATTTTCCTATATTGGATTTACAAAGAAGCTTGGTAAAGCTTTGAAGATTTTTGTGAGAAGAGGCAAAGAAAAAAATAAAAAGAAATCAAGTTCTTAGGACCCTATTTTTTCCCGATTCTGAATTGAATCTTGTTTTTCCCCATGTGGATAATCTGCATAATGTGCACTCTCCTTACCTTCCAAGACATAATAAAATAATTTCCCTATATTCTCCAGATTAGAATTACAGCATCCCCTACTGTCTTCACAGCCCTTACCATAGTCCTTTTGTTTTCAAATGGATAGTGCTCATTATAAGAATAGAAGAATAGAAGGGGGAAAGATTTTTTCCATAATTTTTCTTTCTCACCATCCCCATTCTTTGGTTTCAATTCAGTCTTTTTCTGTGTATTAAAAGGGAAAGAGAAGAAAGAAACAAGTGGTGTTAATCCCCTTCTCTGTCATTGTCCACAGAGACAGGAGTGATTGATCCTGAAATCCAGAAATACAATACGCCAGGTTTCACAGGTTGCATCTCAGGGGTGAAATTCAACAGCATTGTGCCCCTGAAAACCATATTTCGCTCTAGTGGCAGCAATCCCATCACCCCTTACACCATCAATGGAAAGCTGGTAGAATCCAACTGTGCCTCTATGCCTTCCACCTACATTAAAGTGCCTCCTGAGCTTGACCCATGGTACATAGATCCAGGTAAGGCAGCTTAATATGACAATTTTGAAAAAGATGGGCCTGAGTTCTTATCCTGGAGTGCCTACTCTATAATTCCAAAAATGAAAAGTGTGCATTTATTTCCCTTGAGGCAAGGATTTCACTAAGGGATATATCTGTTTTTTTCCCTTTGAGTGTGAAACTTTGTTCAAACAGATGCAATGATATTGCACCCTAGGGGAGAGGGAGGCCTATAGTAGCAATCATCATATAAAGGGAACAAACCATGTGCATCGTCTTGGGATAACAGGCAGGCAAGGTATTCTGCGTGTGGAAAGCAAAGAGTTTCCCCATAGAAGAACCTGCTACACAGATGCCTTGGCAGAAGAAGCATATAGGGTAGCTAGAAGGACAGTAGATACTTCTTAAAATTTGGGAATAATTCAGGGTGGCAAATATATCCAGTACACCTCCCTCCTCCTATTTTCCCCACAGCAACAACTCTGTGAGGTGGGTTGGGCTGAGAGAGAGTGACTGGCCCAAGGTTAGCCAGATGGTTTTCATGGCTAAGGTGATTTTATGAAGGGAAAAGAGACCACCTATGGATGGACTGAGCCAATGAGATCAATACCTGATTGGTGGAGGAGTATGTCAGATCTAGTTTTAATTGTATGTTTTTTTATGCTTGTTGTAGTGGACTTCTTGTACATCCATGATGATGGCTGGGTTGCAGTCATTATTGGAGGTGAGTTATCAAAGTGGAAAAGGAAGTGAAAGCTAGGGGAAGAGCCCAGAGATTGCTAGATTAAACTGTTAGGTTCCATCTGCAACTAGCTCTTGGGTTTTTCCCCCCAGTTATTCTAATTCTTCCCTTTCTTTCTCTGTTTCTGCCTTTCTTCCCCCAGTTATCTTTTTTCTGCTTCTGCTTTTGGCGGCAGCCCTTCTCTTGATGTACCTTCACCATCACCGTTACAAGGGCTCCTACCACACCAATGAACCAAAGGCCATCCAAGATTACAACAGTGGTGGAAGTAGTAGTGGTGGGGGGAGTGCCAGGGGCAGCGGCAGTGCTGAACCTGCCACTCTCCCCACAGCTAAGCCAGTTGCCTCTCGGAAGGATCAAAACTTGCCACAGATCCTGGAAGAGTCCAAAACAGAATAGCCAACTGGAGCCTGAGGGATTCATCTTCTACTCGGTGCTGGCTGCAGCCTCCTGGCAAGACCAAACCCAAACTGCCAATTGTGCTGCTTGCTGGGAGACTGATTTCTGCCTCCACCCTTCACGGCGTAATGAACTGCCTGGTGCTTGTTCAACTTGCACAACCTGTGGTGTTGCTGTATTTCCCAGTTGGACATAGTCCTAACTGGCAAGTGTATAATCAAAGATATTTCTGCCTCCCTCCATTTCATTCAGAATAATTGTTTTTAGTTATCTGTTTGTTCATTCATTTATGGGACTTCCATAATGCCTCAACTGATTCCAACTGGATATATTTTGTATCTTTTGAAAAGATTTAATTGGTGCCTGGGTAGTTGCCAAAAAGATACCTATTTTTCCTCAAGGAGTAACCCTTCCACTGCCTCTGGGCCTACTTCTTTTCATATCTCCTTCCTCCATTTTGGTCCTGCAGTTTCTTCTTTCGGTGGAAGGCAAAGGGGACTGGTGACCATTTCCTGCAGTTTCAACTCCAGTTTGCTAGAGCAATTTATAGCTAAACTCCACGGCTCCTTCCACCATCTGAAGAAAGACATGACTGTCAATATACACTTCCTTTTTAAGGGTCAAGGGAAAATGCAATGCAAAACTCACGCTGGCCTTCTCATACGCGATGCGCTAGCACATAGTCTTCCTGCTTAATTGCTTAGCATAAAAAAGCCATTAGTCAAGCCATGCAATTGTAGCATATGTAGAGCCTGGCACCTTTATATTGTGCCCTGAAAGAAAACAATGTGCAATATAGGTATATTTGCCTGCTAATATATATAAATATGTATGTATGTATAGCAATAGCGCATGAAAAAAAATCACTTGCACTTTGCTAACACTTGCTGCTTCATAAATCAGGGGTTTTGAGAATTTAAAATTATTTCTACATTTTGTTCATGTTTTAGTTGTGAGCTATTAGAAGGACTAATTTTTTAATGGTATCATTTGTATAAAACACAAAAATCCTGATCTGTTAAAAGTGAAGTGATAATCTGTGCTCTGTAGTCTGTTGTATGGTGGGGAGGGATATTATTACCAATAACATCTAACCCTTTTCTTTCCCTATTTAAGTTTACTTATGGATTATAAGAAGATTCTATAACAATGGCCAAATGTATTTATTTTATCCAAAAGCTTGGGCGTCTTCCTGGGCAGTTTATTTTTTCTAAAGAGTTGTTTGGGGAGAAAAAAGTAAATAACTTGTAAAAATAAAGGGAAAAAGCAGGGTGATAAATTACCTGGTTATATATATTTGGGTGTGGGTTAGGGGAGGGGAAATTTTTGTATGGTTATGGATAGAATTTCTTTTTCTCCAAGCACATATATATTTTAATGGACTTGCCTACATAACAAAAATAACAGCAGCCGTATTTCATACTAGCAGTAATTATTACTAGCATACTACATTCTTTCCGTGAATGTTCAAGCTAAAATGCACATAGTCCTTCCTAAGTATCTTCAAAACACTAGAGTAAGACCAAGAGTGACTGACCTAAAACTAAGGTTGCTTAAGTGAGGATATGAACTAATATCTCCCAAGCCTGTGGTAACCGTTTCACTTTTTTGGTTGTCCATAATTGAGGAAAATTAGCCCATTTCAAGATTATTTTTCTACTCAAGTCTAGTCAGAGTCAAGAGAAGCCTGTGCTTACTTTGAAGGGTTAGCTTTTCCTGGGAAACCTGGGGTGGGGGGGTGGGGGGGGTAGGCAGAAGCCGGCAGGATAATTTCTGAAGATGAGTTTTCATAGTAGTTTCAGCCTCACCCTTGACCTTGAAAGATTGGGCATTTGTTTGTGGTGGCTCTTTAGATGAGTATTTATTTCTGGAGTAGGGAATTGAAGAAAATGTCACTACTGTACTCAGTTCTCTGAGAATATTTTGCAAAGTATTTAAATACCTTTTATGCTGTTGCTATCAATTGAGTGGATTTATTGAGCTAGTTACAGAAGTGACACATAACATCCTGTAATGGTTACCTTTGGAAAATTAGTATTCCAAATTAATAAAGGACTAAGAACTTGGACCATCACTTTGGGACCACCCCACTCAGTGATCAGTCGTGCATTAGGATGGGCCACAATTCATTTTGCGGCCAAAGCTTTGTTCAAAAGTAAAGCTGCATTTCCCTTAGAACAGTGGTGGCAAACCTATGGCACGGGTGCCAGAGGCGGCACTCAGAGCCCTCTCTGTGGGCACGGGTGCTGTTGCCCCAGTCCTAGGCCCTCAGCTGGGTTTTATAAAACCTTTTCACTTTAGGCCTCCGCCGCCATGTGCAAAACAAAAAAAAAAAGGTTCAATCAATCAGTCAATTTCAACTTCTCATGGGAAAAAAAAGATTTTGCAAAGCTGGAATTGATTGATTAAACTTTTTAGTCCCACCCAGTCTGCTGTTACCACCCCAGCCACGCTCACCCAATGGGCCACATCCGCCCAATTGGCCACACCCAGCCAATGAGCCACACCCACCCGGCACCCAACGATGCATAAATGAGTTTTGGGTTGCAGTTTGGGCACTCGGTCTCTAAAAGGTTCGCCATCACTGCCTTAGAGGTTCACTATCCAAGGGAGTTAAATGCAAAAATAATTGATGCCACTGTAATTATACAAATGGATTAGGATTGCATTATCCGTGGTACAAAAATCCAGACATCTACTAGATTGCAGTACTTTGTTACTGTTGCTTGTTATTTGTTTGGAGTTTTGCATTCTATTTATGATAGCCTTAAAAAGTATGTGATTATTATTAGTGTCTCATTATGTGAGGTTTTTCAAAAATTCTTAACATCCTCAAAATCAACTATAGTCTGTAAGGATTAAAGTTAGGTAAGGATGTTCTTAAACAGCCTGTAACCTTGCTGTTGCAACAGTACTGTGTACACGATCTGCAATGTAGACCTTGCTCCCCCCTGTACTTGAATGTATGGGAATTGGTTTGCCAATATAGCTTATTCTCCAATAGTACCAATAAAGTTGACATGAGACAGACTTTATTTAGCTATCACTACACCTTTATTAAGACAAACTTTTACAAGCGATAATATAAAGTGCACATAAGTTACCAGCAGCAAAGCTAAGAGTCATAAGCAATCAGAAGATGGAGGTGCCATGCAGCCGTTGGCTCCTGAACCACCATGCCTAGAAGAAAAGCAGTTCAATGAAGTATAATGTGGGGGAAGCATAAATGTTTTTGCTGCTATATAAGTAACTGGCATCTTCAATAGCTGCAGTATATCAGAAGTACTAAGCAATATATGTTTGTGTTATAAAATATTATGCAGTACTGAGGTGAAGTCTAAACATCCCATCAGCTGAAAGACCAACCAATACTTTTGTGAGTCAAGATGCAAACACAGGCAATCATACACAACACCAACTATAGTATTGCGGGCCTAGCTCCTGACAAAAATATTAAACCTGCATCACTTTTAAGACCAACCATTTCTGCAATGGATACCTTTCAGAAAGTTGCTTGATCAGTCATAAAACTCACTGCCCAAATTAAGCGGCGATAGCCCTTCTTGCACTATTGGTACTATCTATTAGCCTGCAGGTAGTAGTCAGGTCTGCATGCATGAGACTCCTTTTCCTTCTTATATCTACACTGTATGGATGCTAGACAACAGCTAAGCAATAAGCCTGGTTACAACTTTGCCAGAGGCAGTTAAGCTGCATCACTGTGCTATGACTGCAGTAGCTAAAGACTAGGCACCTTGGCTTTTCCCTCTTCCCAATTTAAAAAAACAAACTAAGAACATAACACTTAATTGAACAAAAGGTCCACTACCATTTTTCATATTGTCCCTCAAACTATTTTCTTCCAGAAATTAATGTCTCTTACAGTACTAGGTTCCCTTGAGAAGACTTAACATTTCTAACTCAACCAGGTGCTTAAGGATGCTTTTTGAGAAAGCAGGCTGACAGCTCTCCCAAAAAAAGTAATGCAGCATTCCAACTTTAAATTGCATCTCAGGAATGCATTCTACTAGAAGCTGCAAGTGACAAAAAAATGGCTTAAAAAAAAGCAAACTAAATCTAGCAATTATATGGCATTCTTTTCTCACACTGAAATTAATTTCACTATATTATTTAGAAGTGCTCTAAACAATTAAATTTCACTCATATTAGATACAAATTACACACTAAGCAGATATTTTTCTCACAATTATTAAGCAGCTAGAAAAGGTGAAGCAGTAGTAAATAGGGTAGTGGAGGGCTTGCTGCTGCCACCGAATTCTTTGATTTCTAAGAGACCACGAACACTATATCCCCCCACATTTATATACTCTTTCCCTTATTGTAGACAGCAGGCTGTGCTTAGCCAGCAGTAAAGGCACTCTACATATGCTCAACTATACTATTTAGCATTGTTTCATTTGTTCCAGGCTCCCTTTCGGCCCAGGAAATGAATAGATGGAATGTTTGTGCAGAAGTGCTAACACTTTCACAATTACATGGCTGGCATGATCAGAAGCAACTGAATACTCTTAGGCCAAATAATGCTATTTGCGTAGCTAATACATGTTTGTGTATACCTCATTCTACACACACTCTGCCAAGTTCTATAAACTACATTTCTGTCTTCTCCAAGGCTGACATTGATGTTACTATGTCACACAAGGGGACTTACCCATGTAGTAAATTCAAACTATTGCTGGCACCAATAAACACATTTTATCAGTATAATAAGCCAGTTTTATGATTGATTATAGTTCTCATGTATCAACCTATGAAAAAGTCAGTTTCTGGTTTCTACAGTAATCCATACTATGGAAATTGAATCTATTTTCACTTCTTATAAATCCACAGGGAGCCCAATTCCTTGTCTTCATGGAGCAAATAATTCTAAAGTGCATGCTAATTGATTGTTTTGGACATAAATGGGGGGGGGAAGTGGGTGACAAATTAATTACTCTTAAAAAGATTGTTATACTCTGCTGGGGTCACCCAATTGTTCTGTTTTCATATGTGTATCAAGAATACCTCTTGTGGCTTTAAAAAACATTTAATGTTTTAAGAGAAGAGCAAAACCAAATGTGTGAGTCCTTAAACTAACTAAAAAAAAAAAAATTCACTGCTGAAAGTGTTAGTATGAAGCCCAAGAGGGAAAGAGAATAGGATTAGAGAGTGTTGTAACAAGTCACTAACTGAAGGAAACGAACTATAGAGGTTTGGGAACAAATGTTAACTCATCAGGAATTAATTAATAAAAATGAATTAATCCCCTCCCTTGGCCTCTGTATAATACTTTATGATTTTCTTTGCAAGTGACATTTGTGTTGAGATAATCTCTGCTCTAAATTTGCCTGCAGCCAGAGCAAAGAAATACATTCTTCAGCTCAAATAATTTTTTAACCAATAAATCAAATCGATTTACAAGCTTCAGCATATAAAAGGGTCTTAAACCACTTTGCCTTTTCAGAGCCTCCTCATCTTCCTCCTAATAGTAATTCAGCAGAACTCTTCATGGTGTCACTAGCTGCCAGTCAAGTGGCCTTGGAATCAGAATCTCAAGTCCATAGAAAAAGCTGGATCTTTCCTTTCTCTAAAGAGGAATCCAGGTGCAATGAAACCCTAATATATATAGCAACAAAGAAAGCAGCATGAATAGGATGCAATGATACTGGCTGGGAACACTGAGGGCCAGTAATTTCAATCAGATGTCATCCGTTTCTCTTTCAATGCCGACATATTTGAGGGCATCTGCTTGGCTATACCTGGGAAAGAAATGAAACTGTTGTGAATAAGTACATTATGGTCTTTATGAAGATATACATATGAGATATCATATCAAGCAATATCTTAGAAACTTTGAAAACTGGAATTAGATTGCACTCACCTGTAATCAAAAAAGAGCTCTTCGCCTGCCTGAATTGCTCTCTTGGCAAAGATCCCGATGCGGTGATCTCCATTCACCATCACCACTGAATTGGGGCAAAAAAGAGACTGAATGAATTGTCTAGATTTTTACAAGAATCACCCCACCAAGGCTTCCACTGTCACTCATTCCCAACCTTCAGGAAACAAAATTTCAAATCTGTCATTTGCTAAACTAGAGGGCGCATCATTTTCACACTTGAGAATGCAAATGTATTCATCTAGCATAGACGCAATTAAAGAGCCATTTTTGCATCCTAGAATAAGTTAGAAATGTGTGAGGTATGGTTGATTGTTACCACCGTTCTTAAACTGTGAATTCTAAGCTACAAAGTTAATTCTCTAGAATGTGAATGTAATTCTCAGCAGTGCCTATTAGCAATTGTGGAGCTGAATTAAGAGGTTTTGCCAAGAAATAACTTATTTATATAAGTATTTATCACATCTAATCTCTCATCTAGGATCTTGTTTCTTTGCCTTTGCCTTTTTGATGATTAAGGGATGATAGAAGCACCTCTTCTATGAACACAATTCTCTGTGACCAGATTTTCTGATGAAGATATTTATATTCTAATTTTAAAAAAAATCAGTAATTACAATGGCTGGCAACATGCCCTCTTTTTTTAATTATAAACAGCTGAATATACTTGATCCAAGACATATCCCCTCACACTTACCTTCTAGGTTTGCATTCTCATTTGGGGGTAAAAATCAAAGTAAGGATGTCTGCCTAAAAACACCAGATTCCAAGTTGGAGTCTATTGCATCAGAATGAGAGCAGAGCCCTAAAGAGTCTCACCTTTGGCATAACAGTTAGGATTGACGGAGTGATTTGCAAAGCGGATTTTGTTGCCTTTGCGTGTGGCATCAACAACGAAATCTGTCAGGAAAAAAAAGAGTTCATAGGGATTGGAGCCTCTGCAAAAGCTCACTTACTTATGTAAAACCACCTCTGAAAGCTATAGAAGACAGAACTCTAAAGCCTGCTCCCTCCAAGTTGCTTCATCACCCCTTACTGGAGATCACATCCGCAAGCTCTACCTCACTATAATCAATTACCATTATTGAGGTTGAAGAGGAAGCTGGACATATACTTGTCATAGACCTTGCCACGTCGGTCAGCCTCATCTTGAGAGATAAGCTGAGAAAAAGGAACACAACGGACAAGAATTTGTTAGTTGCCATAAGGCGACCAAGTCAGAGGTTAACAAAATTTAGAAGGCTTAGTTTCTCCCAAAGAATTGGGAGATCTGAAAATAATGTCTCCAAAGCAGACAAAATTTAAACAGAACTTTTCTTCCATTTTGCAACAATAAAGGTGGGGGCAGAAAATTAAACAATTTATTTGCTAACTACACATTTTGGCAAGTAAAAAACTGATAGGTAATCAAATTAACATTTCAGATCAACCAACAGATAAGGAATGAATTTTTTGTTCTTTTTTTATCTACACAAAATATATGGATTACTTGATATATTTCCAATACTGGCAATACTGAAATAGATATAAATACATTTGGTCATGCCATCCTTAGTTCTTCTCTTGTATAAAACATACAAGAGAATCAGTACTCCTTAAACTGTTGATTTCTACTACTGACATACAGCCAGAATTAAATTTGGTACATGTCAATATGCAAAATGAAAAAGAGTGGGAGAATTAGAGTTGCTGGGAATTGGGTAGTGTATAAATTTAATAAATCATCACCATCATCTTCCCAACCCAAAACAAGGCTGTACACTTTTTAGTTAAAACTTCAGCTCTAGGTTTAAGATGCTGTAACATGTGGAAATTGTTTTCAATAACACATTGGTTTCATTTACATTGTTAACAAATCATTTATAGTTGTTAAAGGAAAATTTGCCACACTGCTCTGATTTCTGGCAATGCAATGATAAATGAATGTGGGACTGCCCTAGAATTGCTCAATTCTGAACAGGAATCAAGGAATGCAACAATTTCTTCCTAGAAACAGATCTAAATTTTGCAGACAAAACAGCTTTAAGAGGAATTTTACTCCAGGGCAGCATAAATAGTTTACATGAATTTTATTTGCTAACAAATATATCATTTTATAAAACTAGAAAAAAATTGAGCCCGAAAAAGATTATAAAAGCTGCCTATTCCACCTTCTCTTTCCTTGCCCTTCTGCTCTACTTTGATGTTTCATTATTGCTATGCTTGTGGTATTGCTATAAAATCTGATTACGAGTTAAGAAGCTGGAGCTGTATTGAAAATGGTACAAATACTCCACCTGGAATTAATCAAAAGTTTACTAGAAAGTTTCCCCAACATCATAATCAGCCAACTGTTCACCAAAAATAACAGCTTGCCTAGTTTTTAGCTTCAAGTCCTATCTAAATGTTGACCAAGTGACAAGCCCATATTAATAAATGACTTTCACCTGCAGGTTGTCCTTGCTTTATGACATAATTGAGCCCACAATTTTGGTTAAAAGTTGTAATGATCATAAAGTGGGTCTTCATGTGAATGTGCCCAATTTTATAATATTTTTATGGCAGCTGTTAAGTGAACATGGTTGTAAAGTGAACGCCACAGCCATTAAATGAACCCATTATTTGGGGTTTTTTGCTGTAAAATGGAAGTAAATGCCTGTTTCCAGCAAAACTATCATAAATCGCAGGCAGGTGACTGTAAGGGTGCAGCAAATGGCTATGTGGGCCAGTTGCCAAATGCCCAAAATACAATCATATGATTACATGGGGGAATGCATGGGGTCCATCATAACTTGACCAGTTACTAAACAACCCGTCAAGGACCATCTGAATGCTGGCAAGGCCCAAAATTTACTGTTCCAGAGATAGAAACATGTATTTCCCTCGGGATATCCCGTTCCTCTTTTCAGCTCATAAGCTCAAAGCTGGAGTTGCTGTTCAGGAGATGAACAAATAACCTGCCCTCTCATTCATCTTGATAACCACTGCTGAGACTAAGGATTACAGCAGAGAGGCTAGTGGATCTTAAGTCTTGTTCTATTTTTCCAACTCACCTCCCCACAGTACTCAGAGATAAATTCGTTCTTCTGCACAGATTCCTTAATGAAAGTTCCCCATCCAGCAACATCTGATGGGGCCAGCAGCAAGTGCTATGAAGAAAAGAGGCAGAAGCATATTTTATTAAGTAGATCAAGTGAACAAACATAGAGCATTACAAGATGGGGAGAGAAAGGAGACAAACAAATGGATACCATATTCTAGTCCACCAGCCACAACAAGATATCCTTTACTTGCAGCATTCTTTGAACGCTATCTTTAAAATCTCCAAATAAAGGTATACTGTAGCCAACTTTATCTTCTATTCCAATACATGGAGAGTCCAGTTAAAAAAATCAGTCCTTACTGTTATGGAAGTAAGGTTGGCAAAGATGGCTGAAACCTCAGAGAATGGGTAGCAGTGCAAGCAAGAACTAACTGGGTCTGAGTCCTTCCTACAGTTTCTCACATTAGCTAGCAGAAACAAAATAAAACACCTAAGCTAACTCAGTTCTATGCCATTCCCAACTAGCACATTTCCATAGCAGGCTCATAATTCTGATCTCCTGTCCTCCCCCTGTTTTGGGACTGAAATGTACCTTCTTGAGGCCCCGCTGGATGCTGCAGTTCTTGCAGGAAACCACCTTGGAGTCCCAGTGCTCTGATGCCCCACAAGTCAGGCAGAGGTCTGGATCACATTCCCGCACAGCCAGATAGCAGGGGCACTGCTTAGTGTTGCACTGAGTCTTGCAACGGCAGCCAGGGAACCGGTTCTGGCCTTGCAGAGGAAACAAAAACATATTTGAAGGTATGCCACAAGAAAAATTGCTAGAAACCTTAGCTATTATTTGGCAGCTTTGTAGAGAGTCTTGTTTCTTACAATCAGGATTGCACTGGCAGAATTTCTCACAGAAATTCTGTGTCATAATGCAAGGACAGGAGCTGTCACAAGGATGGTCTGGATGGTCACAGGGTTGGTAGTTGAACACTTGAGTTGATGAATTGTCTGCAGGAAGAAGGAACATCTATGAGTTGGGCCTAAGAAGCCTGAATGCTGCATATATCATAGTCCCAAGTCAGCACAAGACAGTGTTTTTAGTGCAGAGGGCCACTTCAGGTTTACCAACTTAGTGCAAGTGCTGGAATATGATAAGAAAACAGTATTAGCATGGATTATTCAAGCTACTTTTCAAAATACCAGATGTCAGCAATCAGAATTTCCTTATTTAGGATTTTGAATTCTGCTATTAGTATTAAAACAGAATACTTCTCCAACTTAATTACAGATATCAGAGGTAATGAGGAAACACTGTCTCATCAACTGATGGGAATATTCTGGAGAAAATTTTAGAAACAAAGGGAGTGTTGAGGTTTCTTGGCCTAGCCTGGCCTGATTGGCCTTTGACAAATCTTCTAAATTCCATTCTGTTTTCCCAGGAGAAGAGAATAAGAAGAACCAGGCAAGAAATACATTACCTTTCTTAAGCTGGATCTTCCTGCAGTGAGCAGCCCAGAGCCTTTGTTTGGGAAAAGGAAGAGAAAAAAGAATATTAATCATAGAGACAGGAAAAAAATCTGGATTTCTAAAATATGCATTCTCTCTAACTCTCCTTAGCCTCCTTTCTAGATCTCTCAGATAAAAAAAATGGAACTTATAGATGAAGGAACAACTTGGTGAGAGGCAGGAACTTTTCCAACATAAGAAAATTGAGAATGATGAGTTGGGTACTGCTACATTTCAGAACTTTTTCAGAAGGAAGGGGTGTGTGTGCAGAGGTCCATAAAGACTATGTCAGTTTTTGGCAACCTCAGTCACTATGTCTTCCCCAAGAACTTCTGTAGCCCTAGAATTATTCCTTGCATGGCTTCTTATTGGCTAGATTCCCCTGAACACATACCTGTGCTTCCTCTTCTTCTTCTGGGAGGGATTCAGGAGCTCATTAACTGGTAGCTTTGTTATCAAGGATTCCTTTACAGCAAACTGAAAGACCTGCCAAACAAGACATGCAACTTGTTGAAAATGGGAGTTCCAAGTGAGGGAACCAAATGCCCGTGCCCAGTCCTGGCCTACCAAAGCTCATACCTGCTTGCATGTCTTGGTTCCCAGAAGCCGAGCAATGGAGCAGAAGTTATTGAAGTAAGTTCCATGGAAAACACGGAAGAGAGTCTCCTCTGCCCCTGTCCACTCCACAGGCTCCAGAGGCACATCAGACATGAAGGGCTGAGAAGATGATGGACTCAGCTTTGGCTTGGTTGGAGTTTGGCAACGTGAGTTTGCCTCTGGAGCAACAACAACAACAACAACAACAAAAATGAATAGATGTGGAAAGTAAGCATGTACCAAAAAGGAACCCCCAAACATGACAACAATCTTGTTTTCTTAAACATGTTTACCTGCAAGTGGTATCATTTGTCACAGGATTACTAATGGGCAAGGACTGTTTGTGATGGGCAAGGACTGTTTGTGATGACAGAAATACATTCTTTCTTCAACAAAGTGACTGGCACTTAGTGCTTATGTGTGGCACTAAAATAGACTGATAGCAAGCTCTGGCATAAATTAAATATGAACAGATTCCACAGAAGAAATTATTCTTCTTTGAGCCTGCTGGAGCACATCACTTTCTAAGGTGAAAGAGGCCACCTGCAATTTCTCCATCCCTGTTTTTCACAAGCCATACATAGGGGAACCTCACCCACCTGAAGAACTGGATGCCCAGTCATTGCCTGTATCTCTGTCACTATCACCTTCTTTTGCTTCAGCACTTGTAGAGGCTGCAGCACTGGTGGAGGCAGTGGCACTGAGATTGGGGTTCTTGCGTCGACGACGTCCAGCATATTTTGACCGAGGGTTATGCATCATGGCAAATTCTTTGGCTCCCTCCTAAAAACAAGATAAAATTAGAAATACACAGCCTTGTTCAGATATTATAACTAACCAGGAAGGACATGGATCCAGTATGCTGGTGATGGCACTAATAGTGTTGAGGACCCATTGCCTTAAGTTAATTTAAGTTCTCTGGATAGAAGAAAGAGAAGGGCAAGTTTTTTTTTTACAGAGGGTCATAAGTTAGTCATGCCCATAAAGGAAGGGAACATATACCAACCATATGAAACAAAATGGGTAATTTACAGACTGCATAAAACCTTTCCAATGAACCCCTTTCCTCATTTTATTCCAAAAATTCAAGTGGCAATGGACTTTGCTATAAAATTTTGGAGCCAAAGTGCTTGCTCCAGAATTTTAGGAACTGATTTAGGAACAATATTGTATAGAAAGTACAATATTGCCCTAGATACAGAAATCAAAATATACTAAATTTTGTTTAGGCAATTTGAAACAATTGTATGGAAAATTGAATACACAGGAAACTGATGGTTTCTAAGAAATAGTTTATTTTATTGTGGTTTGCTAGTATAGGAAAATGGTCATTTTGAAGCCTCTTGAAGATGCAGATTCTTTTTTGAAACAAAATCTGTATTTGCTAGAAACAGGTGAGGATCATGCAGTGAAAAACGTACTATAAAGACAGGAGAATGGTATGAAACCAAGACATCCTTCTTTCCTTCCTACAATGTCATAATTGCATATATTTTCTTTTGACTAAATGTCCTTTTAGGGTTTTTTTTAAGAGAGTATGTGTGTGTGTGTGTGTTTGTCTGCCTGTAGAAATTTAGGGTTTCCTAGATCCAGACTTCAAAAGTCTAGACCACAATTAAATGGTAAGATAATGCAGAAAATTAATTTTTTCCTGCCACCTGCTGGTCATTTGAACTTTTGCATCCCAGACCTGAAAGTCCTAGGAAAAGCAGTTTAATTTTTAGGGTAACAGGGCATGCTCTCCTTTTAGTAATGAAGGACGGTCATATTAAAATAAATCAAAAACAAAAATGGGCCTATTAGAACCTTTAATCTATTTATTAATTTATTATTAGAGCATAAGCTTTAATGGGTTGGAACTCACACTATCAGATCAGGTTAAAATGTTTCAGATGTAGATATAGATGGTATTACTATTTACCTGAGAATGTACAATATTTTATGACAACAATAATTGGTGGATGCACAACAATTCTTATACTATATTTTAAATGAATGCCTGTAATATTGGTTTTGCACCCCAGCAATCCCCATCCAACATACCAACCACAAAAAGCAGTCTGATCCACAAGGCTCCGTCTCAATTTTGGTCTCCACATTTTTCCGCTTATAAACATTTGGAGTTGCATGAAAAGCTAAAAAAGAATAACCATCTTGCTTGGGTTAGAATAGGTTTAGGCTTTTTTTAGGTTTTATTCAATTATTCAATTCAGGAACCTTGAAAAATATTCCTTGTCTAAAAAAAAATAATCTCAAATCTCAGGAAGGCAATAATTACTATTAGTCAAATAATTTTGTAAGAATTTATACCCAGGGTTAAATTCACCCTATTTTAAATTTGGCAGACCATCAAACATGCAGAAATACAGGGGGGAGAGCCGGGGGGGGGGGCGGGAAGGGACAATTTTCAGAATGAAAATGAAGCCATAGCAAAAACTGGAGAACTACTTGTATGCCTGCCTGGTAATGCTAATTAATCCATAATATATTATTACTATCTAGCAAACCAAACTTAAGTTTGGCTATTTCAGGCAGGCATTGGTATTTCAATGGCTAACCCACCTGGATTTTAACTGGAATATTTATGGGTCTTTACTATTGTAACTGAGTATAATTTAAATCATGTTAGATCTTATACAGATGTTCTAAGCCATTCTGAATACTTTAGTATGATAGATAGGAGGGAGAGTAGGTAAGAAGATTAAAAAATGCATTGGGGGAAGGTAAATGGAGGTGGACATTCTAGGATAATTTGAAAAAGTGGAATCAACATTGTTATGCATGCATCTATACAGAAGCCAGGGGATTCTGCTAGGGAACAGCCTTCCTGAGATAATCTGCTAACATTTCCCATGAAAATGTCATACACTGGAACAGAATAAGCAGGAAAGAGGTAGAGATTGTATCAGGAACTTACGATGGAGGAAACAGTCATACTTGAAACAGCGCCTGCAAAAAAGTGTGTGAAAGGAATGCAGAGCCTGCTCACGCTGAACAGATTTGGCATTCGGCCCGTCTATATTTGGTGTGCACTGGGGTGGAAGCACATTCATGTCGGATTCTTCTGTCAGCTCCCTATATCTGAAGAAATGAGGTAGAGAAGAGAAGAGTCATTCAAAGTCATAAAGAGACCTTCCAAAGTTGCTCCAAACAATGGAAAGACTGGCTGCAGCTATTCTGACAGTCTGTACTTATGTACTTAAAATTGTTACTTAAGAGAGAATGGGTTATCATTTCACACTCTGAAGATCACTGCTAACATATTGTTCAAGCATTAAAACTGCCTCAAATAAAATTGAACACTTTCAGATAAGAGGCATCTTGCGGTTTGCAAAATGCTAACTGACATAGCAAACTAGGAACCAGAATTGTGTATTTTGAAGACCAGCTGCAAACCTCTGCATATGACAAGCATGGTTAGAATGCTTGAGATAATAATGTGAAACACTCCAAAGCGGACAGCAGGGGGAGACAAAAGCATGACCACTACTAACACCCCAGATTATTTTCCTGTAATAATTCGGTTGCAAACTATACACTGGATAGTGCTTCTCTGCTAGTCAAAATTCATAAATTGTAAAACTTTAGCCAGACTGCAAGTTTGTTTGTTTATTCGTATCAGAAGCATCATGATAAGGCATACTATATGACATAACATTGGAAATATAAAATACAAGATTAAAACATGTACAAATTAAATAGGTCTTGCCCAGAAACTAGCAACATTAATATTAGAAATATATTAGATTATAATATTATTTTTTAGACTATATGAGACATATCCAAATAATTTTCTTGGCAACATTAAGAGTATAGTTTGTTTTTGCCTCCTCCTGAGGCACATTACTGTCCTGAGACTTCCTGGTAGCCTTTTGATTTAACCACCATTAACTATATCTGACCCTGCTCAGATTTTTTTTTTGAGGCAGTATTTCTGATACCCATCTTGGAAATTAAAATACAGTATGTCCAGACTAGAAAAACGAAATGACACTTGGCTTGAATTAGATAATTCCTACCTTTCTTTCATGTCTTCTGGGTAGCCATTCTCAGGAAACATTGATGAAAGAGCTGTAAAGATCATGTCATTTGGAAAGTGCTTCTTTGAACTTTTCTTGTTACCTACATTAGACATGCAAGAAAGCCTGCTGATATTTTGTGAATTAAAATATTCCTCTCCCTGGAATACTGCTCTTCCAAGATAGGATTGGCTCAGAAAATAATTAGGAAGAAACCACAACAGGCAAATATCAGACAATAAACTATACTGTAGAATGCATAAAAACAATTTTGAAGAAAATGCCAAACAGGTGCCTTTTTCTCAGTTTCCTTGTGTATATTGTTATGCAGTCATTATAATTTCCCCAGCAAAATACAAGAGTCTACAAGATCACAAAGAAATTGTGAATAAAAATTGTATTGTACTTTTAGGGGCTCTTAAAGTTTAGCCTACAGTTATTTTGTTACTTAATTTCATTTAATAATGTATGGGGTGGAAGAGAAGAGCTATAAACTTTGAAGGATGCAGTTGAAGCATGTTTCCATTAAACTCTGCTGGAGAAGAACATTACCCAAGAACTGAATCTATAGCCCCCTTCTTGCCAATTCATACTGCCTAGTATAAGATACTAAATGGAAGAAGCACATAGCAGCAAGACTTGCAAAGTCATGGCAGTCTGAATGTGGCTCCAATAGGAAGGGACATGATGGTTAAGAAGCAAGAAACATACTTTCCATTGTAAGTCGTTTCCTCTTCCGTGTGACAGGCAGGTCTTCCTTCAAAGCTTCTTGTTTGCCTTCTGCAGTATCGTGTCCTTCATCTTCTTCCTCAGAATATTGGTTTAATGCATCTACCAACTCCAGAAAAACAGCATCACTGATCAGAACAGAACCTGGGAGCAATTCTGGAAGGAAGAACTGAAAGCTAGACATGGGGAAAAATTCAACCTCATGAACAACAACATTGTGTGCCTACGAAGACAAATCTGACTTGTAAAAACAGAACTCTCTCCTCCAGTTCCCTCCCTATACATGATCTGGGCCCCTTCAATCCCAATGGAAGACTGTATAGCCTTTACCTTCTTCTCCATGGACTTTGCCGTCGTAGTTATTAATGAGCTCCTCGATGAAGGTTTCGTCCTCTTCTTTTACTTCATCTCCCATGTAAGGGATGTTGCACAACACAGTTTCATCCTCCACCTGCAAACGGGGGCAGACACAGCCTGAGGGAGGCAGGGGGCTGTCCCTTGTCCACTCACCAGAAGAGCCTGCAAATGGCAGATTGCATGCCCACCTTAACAAGAACCCAGAGGGATGTCTGCTGATCTTACTGCACAGTAAAGACTTTTCCTAGACAGCACTCTTCATGCTGACTGGAGGAGGAGCGGAGCTGTAGTCCAACATATCTGGGAGGGAACTAGATTAGGGAAGGCTGACGTAGTATGCCCCAGCATCACAAGGTCTTTCTTCATGAGCACTTACTCTTGAAGGCAAGGTCATGCCATTCAATCAGTGGTCTTTAGAGAAGGTTCTGGTGGCACTAGTGATTCACATAATTTTATCTTGCTTATTTGCAATAGAAAAACTCTGGCTTTATCCCTGCTTACTGTAGAAGGGGGTTCAGAATGTTTTTTTCTATCTTGCATTAGGGAGCTAAGGCCATACAGTTTGACAGCATGATCCACACAACAAACACCAACTCACTAAGTTAAGGAAAATATCTTATTTCTATCCAAAAATTGCTAGAGGAAGAGCAGCCTGCAAGAAGTGCCTTTTAGCTCCAACTCAGGGAAGGCTTGGTACATACAAAAGTATTGTCAGAATCCAACAGCTGCTGCCAGATCAGATGCTTTTAATGTGGAGCAAAAGTCCCATAAATTGCTTTGTCCAAATGTTGTGCCCTTAGAGAATGACTGAGGGTGACCAACAGAAAGGCATCAAAATTGTGAGCAATTATTAACCTAATAATCTCATTTACTTGTAAGATGACAATAAGTTAAAAAAAATGGATGGCCCATCATTGGAATACATGCTTCTGAAGACTCCCACTCCCCACCCAACCTTCAGACTTCATTAGTGATAAGAAGTTTCTGAGAAGGGATGGAGAAGCCCCTCATCAGAAATGTTAGAAGGTAAATTCTGGTATTGTCAGCATTTCCCTAGCTCTGAACTTCCAGAAGCTGGGATTAGGGATGAACAAGACTCATTAGAGAATGGCAGATTGTTTACAGGACACTGTCATTTTGCAGAATCAAACTGGAACTTCCTTGATCTTCTGTGCAAGACATGGCTTCTAAATGCCATCTTTTCCATCTGGAATCCAGATGTTTTGGACACTGGAGACAATGTAGACAAGCAAGAAATTTCACTTCTGTAATCAGATAAATAACTGTGCTATCTACCTTAAGAGACAATTCAGATATTACAAACAAGTGTGCAAACCTTAGTAAAAATACCATGTATTGTCAGGTTCAAAATGAAAAGCAGATGTTCTTGCACTGGGTAGTACTCCACGAAGAAACCCTGCTGCCTTCCAACCAGGCCTTAAAAGATGTTCTGGATTCAAAAGAAAACATTCATATTCAAGCTCAGAATTATGGCAGCAGCTGATTACCTACCATGAAGTTCTGCTGGAGTGGAGACCAGGAATACATGATAGGCACCAGGGCTACAGTGTTTAGAGTTCGCATGAACAAAGTCTGGGTGCTCAAAGTGGGGAAGCTGCTCTCAACTGTGCACTGGAGGAGAACAAAAGCGTGCCCCGTCAGAAGGAGTAATATACAAGTCACCCCTCTTAAGTCCCTCTGTGCTGAATATATTTTCATCCATTCCTGGTACTAAAGGAGACAGATATGATGTGCCTTAGTGACCATGCTTTAGTATCATATGGGAATCTTCTAATATGGTTTTCTCTCTTGCTTCCGCTAGAGGGCACCACGAACCACTACATTCAGAGAGAGGAAGATGGACTTTTGGTAGGCATTCTGATTTGATATATAGGGCCATCATCATATCAAGTTAATAATCATATTATTATCTAGGCCCACTGTAACACGTTGCGTACTTACCAATGAAGACCAGAATGGTTTATTACCAAAACATCTTAAAGATCATCTCTTTCCATATACAGTAAATCTAGCAACATGTTGAAGCCATTTTAGGAGACCCTAATCCATGTTTCTCCATAATTTGCAGGTACTTCACCTCATCCTGTCTTGTTTCTTTTACCTTCTTGGTCCAGATGGATCTTTCTTATAGGCTTTCAAGCAGCAGATTAAAGATATTTTGTGTAGACATGCCTTTTAGAAACATGCCTCTCCGATTTGACTTATTGACTGGGGATTTTGTTAAGCATTGTATGACTGATAACAAATTAAATACTGGACTTAGCTTGCTTGTTGGCATACCTTCTAACTTGCAAGCCCTTATCCCTAAACATAGAATTGAAAGAATTGATTATGATCAGTCAGTTGGTGAACAGGCATTTTCAACGTGATCGGATGTATTAATTTGTATGACTTTGAAAGTAGGCCCACCGGTTATGATTCTGGGAAAAATATGTATTATCCCAATTCATGAGCCTATTTCTCTTCTGTTCCCAAAGAATACACATCAATTGACTGTAGGACTTAGGAAACAGAAGGACTGAACACAACAAGAATCAGGAAATTAAAAGCACAAAAGGACTGCTACAGAGGATCTTGCAGCAACTGGCAGGAAGCAAAAGTACTAATTTTGCACATGGAATGTCATCCTTTCCTGTTGCTGTTTGCTGGACAATCCTGAATGATCTTTCCTATTCTGAAAAAAAAACTTCTATTCTGATGACTTTACATAACTGACCTAATTTTTTTCTCTGAGTAAATGCGGAACTTCATAATGACATGGAAAGTAGTGATATTATAGTGTGGGAGTGTGAATATGAACTTAGGAAAGGAAATATAGTACATTATTTGCTGCAAACACCTGTTTGAGAAAAGGGTTTCCTCCAACCAGCTTCATAGACTGAATAGGCTGAACTCTAAGCTTCTTCCAGTCATCGTTTAGGATGTTTATCTTTTCCTGAATCTTTGTGAAGTTAGACACAAATAAATTCTACAGGAATAGAGGAAAGAGAAAAAAAACAGATCAACCTTTTGCCATCATGGAAGAGGGATCCCAATTCACAGGAACCCAGCAAAAGGAACTCATTTTTAAACCTGGATTACTGGCTACCAATTATTTTATATAGGTAGGCAGATTGCAATTATGCCATTTCTCTCCTGATACAATCAAAATCAATCCTTTTCATATCAAAATATACAATCATGCTAATAGTCTACCTCCTGCATCTCTCATGATAGCATCAAATATGTTGACTTGGTAAGTCATTTTGTACCCATAATTATGAGGAAACGAATTTTATTGTTTCTTCAGGGAGATATTTTACAGTGGAGACCTTTGTGGACTCTGAGCTTGGTTGTTGTTTTTTTTGCAGAAATTTCATTACCAAACTAGGCAATATCATCAGTGATAGAAGGGAAAGGGGTCTGCTCTCATTTTATATTCCAGTGGCTTGCCCTGTCAGTGTTGCTGGGAGTAGTGTTGGTGGTTCTTTGGTGTTTTACTGTTAGCTTTTTTGTCTGAATTGGTAATTCTTGATTGGGTATTGTTTCTTTCTTGATTGTTGGTCTAAAGTTAATCTTGGTATGAATCTTTGTTCATCTGGGTGTTGATTGCTGGTGAGATGGTGTTTTGGTCTTTTTGGGTTTGTTTTTTTTTGCTTTTTGATTATCTCTTTTGAATGATATGTAGATGTTGTTTATCTCTATGTGCCTATTGATGGTTGATTTGTCTGAGTGCCAGGCTTCCAGCATTTTTGGATTTGGCTTGGTCTAGGAATAGATATTCTAGATATTTAACATTTAATTTTTTAATGTTCTCTTTTTAATCAGAATCAACCTTTTTCTGTCAGAGGCTGCCCATATTTTTAACAGGCATAGCAGTCACATTATCCGGAATTGAAGTTTTGTACCCTCATATTTTTTGTGCTTTGGGGCACAACAGATATATTAAATAAACTTTATCACACTTTCATTACTACTACCCCCCATCCCCCCATAATTGGGTCATGTAATCTTTAAGTGTTTTGATGACCACAAAAAGGATCTATACATATTCAGACAGCGGCTCACCTCTGTTAGGCCAGAGGAATTTGCCTCGCCTCTGTGCTGGAAACACCACTGCCCACTACTCTGGTGAAACATAAGGGTTGAGGGGAATTCCAGGTATCCCCAAATAAAGGTTTTCCCCTCTCCCTCAGAAACAGATGGAAGATGTTGCTGCATATTTCTCCTGTAGAATCCCTCAAAAGAAAAACAAATGAGAGGTGTGTATGACACTGTTTGGATACTTCTCAGCAGGCAGGATGGATGTTTAGCAGATCAACAGTAGTAAGAAGACTAATGGGGAAGAGAGAGAGCATCAGAGAGAAAAAGTTTGCATATGGGCACCATGGCTGTCGCTAAAGTGGTAGGCAGTGTGCTGTTTATACAGTTTGTAGGGAGTTTGCTGAACTCCTGAATATAGACTCTGGATTTGCAGAATAGAGAATAGATTGATATATATTTTTAGATGTAATTTTAACTTCTCATCTTCCTGAGAGAAAGTCAGTTGCAAGACCGACGTTTCTTTCAGTCAGAGTTTGTCCATTCCAATGTGCAGAGGTTCAAGTTTACTGGAAAAAAAATTCTGCTTAAGGTAAAGCATATCTTTACCTTAGCTCCCATGTTTGCCTGAAGTCTTTTGAGTTGTCGAAGACGCATGTATTCTGACTTGACCTTCCTTTTCCAATACAGAATGCATTTTGATGTGGGTGGACCTGGAATCTCTACTTTCCTGAGGGAAAAAAACAAACATATTTGAAAATCTTTGAACAGTACTAACTGGAAAATTATAACTTTATTCAAAGTCTGTCAAGTCTACATAAGAGTTCCCATAATAAAATAGAAAAATAGCTATAACAGAGTTTTAAGATTCTTGGTCATTGCCCATTATTTTCAGTAATCTTTGTCTTTTGATCACTTCATCAATAGTTGTAGCTACTTTGAAGCTTCTCTTTACATTACTATTTTTTCCTTTAAAATGTAATCTAACAGTATTGAGATGCTATATAGAAGACAACCATTTGTTTAGTGACCATTTAAAGTTACAAAGGCACTGAAAAAAGTGACATGACCTTTTTTCATATTTATGACCATTGCAGCATCCCCATAGTCATGTGATCCAAATTCAGATGCCTGGAAACTAGTTCATATTTATGACGGTTGCAGTGTCCTGGGGTCATGTGATCACTTTTGATGTCCTTCTGACAAGCAAAGTCAATGGAGAAGCCAGATATACTTAACAACTGTGCTACTAACTTAATTGCAATGATCCACTTAACAACTGTAGCAAGAAAAGTCATATAATGAGGCAAACTCATTATTTTACCTAGTAAAAGAAATTTTGGGCTCAATTGTGGTCATAAGTTGAGAACTACCTATATTGCCCACAGTGCCAGATTGAATTGATCTGCTTTTATCACACTCTGACAATGATGAGGCCCATATGTTTTCATTTCAAATGATTAGGGACATGCCCCATGGGAGGGATATGTCCAGCATCCTATGCTCCCCTTACTTTATAACTTTCTTTAAGAAATTATTTTAAATGTTTGGCTATGTTTCTTCCAGGTAAAGTTAGGTTTCACTCATTTTTATATAGCACAAATATCATCATACTGACTGACCTATACGTTACTTACCAAAGTATTTCTGTGTTATCATGTAAACAACACATAGCACTGCAAAACACATAATAAACTAAATCACCAACTTCATCTCAACCTCCTAGAAAGCCAAGTTACTTTCCTCTCAAGTATTGTGATTAAGACCACACGTGTTCCTTTTCCTTCCTCATTAAAGCAGTGAAGGAGAAGCAAAGATGCTGAGTGTCTAGAGCATGCGAAAAATGCCTCAGCTAGCATGTAACAAAACCATAAATTGTTCTGGAGCCACTTACAACTTTTGGCTTAAGAGGCAAAACCAGTATCTTTTATCCTTTTTCGTTTAAGCAGACAAATCCCTGAGATATCAAGCAAGGGCCTTGGCTATTTTTACAGGTATTTTTATAGCTGTGGGAATAGCTGAACAAAATGGGGGAGTTCGTTTCCACGTTTCAGCTTTAAATAGACGAAAGGCAAGGAAAATGCAAGAACTATGTCCAACCAGCATGCCCAAGGCTGCTCAAACAATCTTTTGCCATGCCCCGCCCGCATCCAAAGACCTGCGGCTGTCATGCGATGACCTCAGCACATCTCTCCCTCTTTGCCCTCCCATGTACTGATTTTTAAGATACGTCTATACCCTTTTCTGAGCCCTCGTCCCATTTCCGAGTGAGGGACTTTGCATGACGTCATAAGTATTAATGCACCCGAAGTGCTCACTCCACAGGCATGATCCTCGTTACCCCCTCCCATTTCCCCTTAAACCCCTTCTTCGACACTCACTCCTTAGACATCGTACACAGGTGACCTACAGAAAACGCAGAACCCCCTTTCTGAACACGCATGCGTCACACACCGCATCGTACTCGCCCTCCTCCTCCTCCTTCCCGACGCTGCCCTCTTCCGCAAAGCGACGTCTCCGTTGTCGCAGAGATCCATAGACTTACTAATTGGAGTAAAGTAGTGTCATTTTTGGCGCAAAAAGTTTGTTTTGTTTCTTATCTGGAAAACCGCGTTTGGAAGTCGACACTCGTTCTGGCTAGGCGGTAATGGGTCGCCTTTCCAATTCAAACGATGTTGCACTGTTGAGTGCTTCATCTGTCTCTATGAGTGACCGCACAGTGCACTCTATTTACGTTAAATCCATGTAGCTTTATACTCAAGTTAATTTTAGGGAGGTACGAATGATCACAGGTAAAACATAAAGGTGTTTCCAACAGATAAATCGCTATTATTTTTGCCCATCACATCATTTGTTCCTCTGAAATGATTTAAAACTTTCTTCAACCCCAGAGTAATAATGCTGTGCATGTTACAGTCCAAACCGTATGTTACCCACCAAATTAAGACCCTTTTCATGTGGAATTTATTAACAAATAGAAGAAAATGTTTACATGCTGGTCAAGAAAACAGACCAAGACCATTCAAGAACTGCATTCATTGTTACTGTAAATCATTAGGTGTGTTACATGGAAGTTTTTTACTGGGAAACCAAACCTACTGTAACCCCTATAACAGACATGTCAAACACAAGGCCCAGGGGCAGGATGCGGCCCGCGAAGTGGTTTTATGTGGCCTGCGAAGCCATTCTGAAAACAGTGAGGGAATGGCCCCCACTGCCTTGGCCCCGGCCCAGGCCAGCTGGGAGCCAATGTACAATTTTGTGGTGGCCATCTATGCTGAAATGTATTCAGTCTTAACTCCACAAGGCCGTCTGGAAACAGTGAGGAACCAGCCCCTGCCGCATTGTCCCCGTCCCCTGGGTGCATGCTGGGGAGGTGTCACCCTTTGTGAGGAATGAAGAAATGCACCATTGCCTGGGAGTGGCCAGCAAATGGCCCTTGCCTACTTCACATATCAGGCTTGATGGGCTCTGGGGGAGGGGTTTCAGCAGGCTCTTCCAGTGGACCATGCCTTGGCACTTGCCCTGGTCCCACCCCCTTCTGCCAGAGATCCTCAGATCTGTCCCCCTCTTGCCCAGGCCCCCACAGGCACCCTTGACGTAGAGCTGGCCATGCCCACCCAGTAGGCACACCCATTCCAGCCATGCCCACCCAGTGGGCCGCGCCCATCCTGGCCACACCTACCTGGCCCCCCGAGGACAACCGCAATGCTGATGCGGCCCTCAATGAAATTGAGTTTGACACCCTTGCCCTATAACGTTTTATACTGGCAGGATTATTATTTTTTATTAGCTGGTTTGTTTAAAGCTTTTTTAAAAAGGCAAAACAGGAAATATAGTAGGCTCATTCATAAGATTAGGTTTTCTTTTAAGCATGTTTTTTGTGTAACAAACAGCCAAAACTCAAATGCTAGGTGGAATTATTCCAAAAACAGATTGAGTATTAAAATCTGCAGCTGGAGGCCAGGCACCTGCTATCAACTTTCAGTCCAGGTGACGCTCTGAATTTTTCCCTTCACATTTCAGACTTGGTATTCTCAGTTTAGTTATGCCTTTATTCTATAATGCCTGTCTGTCAAACATCACATATTTATCATTGTATGCTTTACATTTAGTATTTATGTTGCTTGATTGATTATGTACCATTTATAAATTATATTTATAAACAAATGTATAATTTTAATATTAATTTATCTAAATAATTCGTTAAATATACTTATATTATCTATTCTTATTTCATCTTGATTTTATGAATGGTAATGGTAATCATGGCATGGCTTTCACTAAATAAATACAAAATTCACATTATGGCTTAACACAATTTGTAAAATCAGACAGATAACACATATTAATGCATTGCCCATTACTGCAGAATATTAGAGATGCACACTTAGAATTAGATGAAAGTTGACCAAGGGAGTTTTCACACTGTCCAGTTAATGTGCACTCCACAATCCTTAAGTCATCAGAATATTATACCAGCATAAATAAGGATCCTTTGTGGATGACGCTACTCTAGTGACCAAAATGAAAATGATTTGCAAGTTCTAGAAATAAAAGTCAAGAGTCTAATAATAAAAGACAAAAACCAAAAAATGGGACCAAAGTTAAACCTAAAGAAGACTGAACTAATGACAACAACCAGCCTTAGACATGACAATTAATATAGTGAAATGGTGGATATCTTCACTATCTTACTTGTTCTTAACTATTATGGCTGATAGCCAATAGTTAAAAAACATAGTAATTAAGAAACAAGTAGTTAAAATATATGCCACAGACTAGTACTTGATAAAGCGGCTATGTAGTCTTTAGAAAATATATTAAAATGTTGTGATATGTCTATATCAACAAAGATCAAAACTGTGCAAATTATATGGAATTTGGAAGCAAATGTTGGGCTTTGGAGAAGCAAAATAGAAGACCTAGCTCTCTGGAGAAGGCTCCAATACTGGTGAGGAATAAAGAGAAGAGGACAACCAGCAGCAAGATGGATAGACTTAGTTACAGTGGCAAAGGTTACACCATTGGAAGATTTGAAATACCACATTGGGGTTAGATTGTCACTGAGAAAATTTGTGTGGTCTATGTAGTCGACAACAACTTGATGACACACATAATCAGTTAATAAATTAGATTGGCACTATTGCTATCTGCTATCTTATACCAATTGCCTCCCTTCTAGCTTGTTGAAGAATGGTAAGTGTCCTGTATTATTGTTTGCAAGTCTGCTTAAGTAAAGCTATTGGTTGATCTGCCTGCGTTTCCCTCCCTGCTTTGAACATCAAGTCATAGAGACGTGTGCATTAAAAGGGAAATTAAAAGCAGAAAGGACAACTTAAATTTTGACACCCCTCATTCTCTGTTAGGAAACAAGCTGAAGGTAATTTCAAGGGGACATAATAGAAGAAGCAGATTACTGAATTGTTTCTCATACTCTACAACTTTTGTCCCAATATGTGGATTTTTATTTAAAATAATATTAACTGTTTTATTTAAATTATATTAATTATAATTATATTGTAATTCTGTATCTGTTGTAGTATATTTAATATTCCTTTTTTACATGTTTAGAGACACTTTGGCTAAAGGGATATAACTTATAACATATAGTTTTAAGTTATAATATCAATATATCTGTATCTATTTGTATCTATATCTATATATCTATAGATATATCATTAACATCATTTATATATCATGTTATTTATTTTATCATTAACAATAAAACAAACAGCCCACAAGATTTTTCTTTACTATAATTTCAGGCAATTTTTGCAAAGCATACCAATTCCCAGACATTCCAGAATGTAAAGCAATTCTGTCCCTTATTTTGTTTATTTTGGAATCTTTTTTGCTGTTATTTTCATTCACAATAGAACTGAAACATATGCTGCATGTTTAAAGAATGCTCATATTTAAAGAATGTTTGTATTTCTTGTCAAAAATTATTCTTTTGCCCATTATGGCAATTACATTATTCTCTATGTCACGAGTTTAATCACTTCAGAGTTTGACATTCTAGTATCCGTTTTTGGTATTGTATCTGTTTTCATAATATCCTTGAAAAAGGAACACATTTTCCAAAACACCTCAGGTCTCTTATTGGCACTTGGAATTGCTCAGCTCTCTTTTGTTACCTTTTCAGTGCAGCAGATACTCTTTCTCTTTGTATTAGGAAAAAACATTGCTGTGTTTTAAAATCTTAAAATGCAAGAATTTATAATCTTTTTTATACATTTGTTACAAGTTACTAATAATAGTTGGTAATCTGAATGAATAATCAAATTTAATAGAACAATTATAAGCACTATAGATGACTACTGGAGAGAGAGAGGGGGGAACAGAAAGGGAAGGTATGCTTATGCTCTAAAACTGTACAGCAGTTTTGAGAGCCCCTCCCCCCCAGAGAGGGACAAAATAAACATTCACTTAGGTTTTAGTAGTATCATTTGCTGAGTTTCCCAAAAAATGTAACTGGCTGAAGACTAATTCAGGAACTCTGTTGCACTGCTTCAGAACTCCTCCATAACAATGCTACATCTCACAACACTGAGTCATTTAGAGAGCCATTCAGCACATTCAATGGGGCTATTTCTCAGCACAGACTTGGCAGCGGCAACCCTCATAAGGTTTTACTTTAAATTAGGAGATATTTTCCTCCTAAGATATTAACACAGTTTTATTTTTAATGACATAAAGAAAAACCATTTACGAAAGACATCTTGTATCCAATTACCAATTTATTCTACTACAAGATAAAGCTCAAAATTCAGAAGAATCATGAAGGCTTGAACACTGGGGTCTATCTAACAAAATGAAATTCAGGTGTGAGAAAAATAAGGTTTTACACTTAGGCAAGAAAAACCAAATGCACAGGTATAGAATGGGTGGAACCTGGCTCAATAGCAGTAGCTGCGAGAGGGATCTAGGAGTCCTAGTGGACAGCCACTTAAATATGAGCCAGCAATGTGCTGCAGCTGCAAAAAACAACAACAAAAACCAAAACAAAAAACAGTGCAATCCTAGACTGCATTAACAGGGATAGAATCAAGATCATGTGAAGTGTTAGTATCGCTTTATAATGAATACTGTTTTGGTTGCCACATTACAAAAAAGATATTGATACTCCAGAAAGAATGCAGAGAACAGCTACAAAGATGATTAGGGGGCTGGAGGCTAAAACATAAGAACAACAGTTGCAGGAATTGGATAAGTTCAGTCTAGTGAAAAGAAGGACTAGGAGTGATATAATAGCAGTGTTCCAATATTTGTGGGGTTGCCACAAAGAAAAAGGGGTCACCCTACTCTCCAAAGCACCAGAAGGCAAAGCAAGAAACAAGGGATGGAAACTAATCAAAGAGAGAACCACTCTAGAACTAAGGAAAAAATTCCTGATAGCGAGAACGATTATCCAGTTGAATATCTTGCCTCCAGAAGGTGTGAATGCTTCATTACTGGAGCTTTTAACAATAG